TAGCCAAGGGGACGCTGGGCTCTTTCCATACCCCTATCTAACAAGCGCGCGTACCTTGTCTCTGTGTGAGTGTGTGTGTGTGTGTGTGTGTGTGTGTGTACGTGTGTGTGATGTGTGTGTGTGTGTGTGTGTGTGTGTGTGTGTGTTTGTGTGTATGCTGTGTGTGTGTTTGTGTGTATGCTGTGTGTGTGTGTGTGTGTGTGTGGATGGGTGAGTTTGTATTACGTGCATGTATAGTGCACATGCATTCGCTCTAACGAAAACAACTGGGTTAAAAAAAACACACACACAAACAAACAAACAAAAAGATATATAAAAAAGGTAACGGCCATAATGTTCCACCAACACACAAGAAAACCTCGCAATGTTCACATACCAGCCGGTCTCTACTGGAGAGAGAAATTTTCTTCTAAATTACTTGTTCATGGGAACTAGGGCCGGGCAATGAGTCGCTTTAACAAAATTCGGATAATATGTAAGTGCCCCTCTTCTGCAAATAATATGTCATGAACCGCCTCGGCAAATGGGTTGGAACCACTTTGACAAACAGGTTAGCATAATTTCAACAACAAATGGGTGCTTCTACTTCGGCAAGCGGGTCAGGAAAGAGAGTTAAGAGTGAATTCGGATATTGTCTTATTGAGGATTATCGATTTATCCGGATTTTGCCCACCTCTAATGGGAACCCCGATTATAACTATAACCTCTCTGCTATAACTCAACACTTCATGGCTTTCTGACTGTAGAGTAAAATATAGTCACTTTTTCTTCACTGCCATTCACTGGTTCAGTCACATATCCATAACCTTGTATCTAACTAAACAGCCAGTTAAAAATAACCGAAAAACAATGGGTCCCTAAAAATACCCGCCCCCACTGTTTTGGCATCAAGAAAACTCATAAAAAACACAAAACATTACGCATAACTGCAAGAATAAAACAATTAAAACCAGTCTACACCCTCATGGAACAGATCAGTAAACTGGCTGCCTTAGGAACAGTTAATTTAAAAAATACCATTTCACAAGAAAAAAACTAGAATTTTACTAGTCTTGGGTATCCAGAGCTACATGATAGAGTATCAATCAATCTACATTTAAAGAAAAAAAAATACACATAAACATAGATAGAGCAAACAGACCCCCCCCCCCAAAAAAAAATTAACAGGCTTGAGGCTAAAGAACGTACACATAGTTTAAGAACGAAGCCCTCGGGAATAGCACTATACCTTGAGTCCAAAAAAATGTTTTCATTCAGAATTCAAGACAACAAAGAGGTTTGATAAATTCTTTTTCAATACTTGCTAACACACAGGAACATAATGTGGAAAAAGACATAATAGAGGAATTATGCAGTCTTTTTACTTTTTATGAAATATTATTTGAAAGTATACTCACACTGTCCTGTGTGTCACAGCTGTTCTCATCAATATGAGCCTGGTGCTGTACGGTCCAGTTGTACTTGCGCAGCTCCACAGGCAGACCCAATCGCTCAAAGTCAGCATACTGGTGTGTCAGGCTAAAGTGACAGGCGCCACATGCACCCACCGCCTCCCCTGCCCACATGACGAGGGCGGTGGGAGGGGCCTTGTGTTCTCGCAGGAATGGGAACTTCTGCACTTCCAAGGTGCGCATCTTCCTCCGGGGCACACTGGTGCCACACACGAAGCACACAAACTCATTCAGCGTGTACTTTCGCAGCCAGCGGTTCTTCTCAGTTGGGCTCTTTGACTCCTCGTAGTCCCGCCACTGGTTGAGGAGGCTGTGGTAGCAGTAAGAGCATGAGAGGACGCTGCCTTCCTCCGTGAACGAGTCCGCTCCCGGGGCTGGCTCCTGGTTGGCCAGAAAAGGGAAGAATGGGATCGTCTGAGACTGGCTTGAGGCAGATTTAGCCTCATGTCTGACTGGGTACGAGAAAAGAGTCTTCGCCCTGGATGCGAGGCACTTTTCACCGCAGAGGAAGCAGACCTTCTTAGGGCGTTCTCCAGCTTGCTGAAGGGGATGCGGAATCGTAGTAGAAGACGACGCCTGTCCGGTTGCGCCTCCTGAAGATTGCTTTTGTTCTGCACTCAGAGATCTTTCATACGCCACTGAGGAGCTATTCATGATGGAGCTGGTAGCAGAAGTCTTAGATGCATGGTTGGCAGAGGGATTGGTGGCAGAAGAGGAATGGCTGGGAGGTACCACAGCTAGCAGACCATGGGAATGACTTTTGGAGAAGGTGGGGCTTTCGCTAACATCTATGTTGAGAGGTTGGGTTAAGGATTTGGGCACCTCCTCTCGTTTCACTGCGGTAAGCTTGACGTCAGAACCACCATCTGTGGTAGAAGAACTGCTTGCAGATAGAGAGGTGCCCTGGGCACTAGAAGAAAGAGGCAGGAGAGAATATCTTCTCTGAAGCAGTGGTATATTCTCCGTTTCATAGGCCTGCCACTGTACCTGAAGATTTCCATAGCAACTGATGCACACTCGAACTGAACCATCTGGGTTGAGAGGTCGTGCACCGTGAGGCCTCCGCAGCTCTTTGATAAAAGGAAAGTACATCATTCGATTTTCTTTCCCGCTGGGTACGGTGAACAGAGCACACATCTTTGGGGCTGGCCATGGTTGACTGCACAGGTAGCAGACCTCCCGTGCACTGGGGCCTAGTACATCATTTGCACCTCCCATTACTATACTGGAGTCATTGCTGAAGAAAGAATCCTTTACCTTGAAGATACGAGCGCTACTCGGAGTGCCATGCTGCTCGTACGTAAGCCATTGGTGACAGAGGGATGAGAAGCAATGGTCACATACTCTGCAAATGCCCTGACTGCTCAGGGGAATGGCCCCACTTGCAGGAGTCACTTTTGTCAGAAAAGGAAAGTAAGGCTCGCTAGCAGCAAGATATGTACTGGAGATGAACTTGGCAGCCACACCCTGGTTCTCTACCCCACATGTGAAACAGACAAAGCTGAACTCCTCGATTACAGGTTTTGACCTGGATGAAGGTCTCCCATTTCTCTCAGCATCACCCCCAGACTTGCATGAGCTCTTAGACGACGTTTCGCTCTTGACAGGGACAGACAAGTCCAGCACACCTTCCCTCTCCTCAAACTTCCGCCCATGGGATTCATGTTCCCTGCTGCCCATTCCAAATCCATCTCGTGAGGAAAAGTTAGCACTATCTTCTGGTGAGAGTGGAGCGCAATTGTCCCCGCAGGACGGCTGGTACTGCAATCCCATGACCTGGGCCATGTACTCACCCTGTAGCTTCATCTCCGCCCCAGTGAACTGACCATCATCTGAGCGCTTCAACCAGTACAGTCGTTTGATGGCCGGCGTGCTGCTCCGTTCATACGACTCCCACTGCTGGGTGAGGAACGCATAGCAAACTCTGCACGCATCAACAACGCCATCTTGGCCCGGGAGTCGACTTCCTTTGGGAGGGTCATGATGCTCCAGGAAAGGGAAGTAAGCCGACCCTTCTCTGGGACGGCTGTGCAGCTGGAAGTGACCACCAAGGCTGCCACAAACAAAGCAGACCACACGGCTCGGCATGGTCGAGTCAAAGAGTAACACGGCTTAACTGCCAAACCAGGTCACATGTACTCTCGTCACAGTTCTCAAACATTTAATATTGTGAAACAGTAAAAAATTTCAATGCTTGAATGTTGTCAGTCCCATAGATTCTGAAAAGGAACATAAAAAAGAGACCATAAGAACATAAAATGGTTAACGGGAAAAAAATAATACTCACAAGTCTAGAAAAGAAAGACAGACAGAGGACTTTCATATCTACTACTATGAAAGAAAGATTTGATAACACATTGTTGATTACACACTAAAATTTGGGATCTCAAATTATTCTTGCGGATTCTTCGAAGTTTCTCATTATCAAAGTCAAAGATACATTAACCAACAGCAGTAATGTCAACAAAACCAAATCAATTTTATCTTACAAAATCAAACTAAGATAAATCTTATTCCTGCATACTTGCCCTCCTCTTACTACATTTACCCCAACAAATACAAGTAAAACACTCCATACCAAAGCCCATTCTCAGTTACCTAATACTGATGCTGCAAAGGAAATTTAATAAAAATGAGATACAAATTTATTTCTCTGCTATGGGTGTCTTTCTCAGAGCACTGGCGTGAAGTAGAAAATGCAGTACACCACACTATTTCAGAATGAGAATTATGGTCATTTGTTAATCATTTCCAGTATTAGTGAACTTAGCAACATTTCATTTCAAAAATTAAAATAGAAAAGTACCAGTTTAGTCAAATATTTTTACATTAATCAAGGAATAAAAAATTGTGTATAAAATCCAGGCAGGTTAAAGACATGAATATCTTTCTGATATAATTAGGCCATAACACAAAAAATGTGTTATATTTTGTGTAACATAATTGCACAACTAAATGTACCTTTCAATCAAATGGAAAAGTAAATCCATAGTGGATCAAACAACTAAAGCCACACCTCAATCAAAAGCCAAAACAAACCACACTGTTCTCAACAAAAACTCCTCTCTATAACAGATAACAACCAAGTTGACGACGAATGATTTATTAGCAAAATTTCCAGAAACTGGTGAAATTAAGAAATTGTCGAGAACAAAACGGCATTAAAGACAAAATCATATCCAGATGGAGAAAACACGGTCCAGTTTGGAGTGCAAGGTAAAGAGAAGCAGCAGGACAATATAAGCAGACTTTGAAATCTCCTGAGAAGTCTGAACACCGCCCGGCCACCTGAATGACAGTCAGGATATTCCACCCTGAGAGTGCACAGACGATGGAGATTTTCAGCCTCATACCTCAGTCAGACTGATAACGCAAAGGTGTCAAGGGCCTTGGTACGCTCCGGGCCCTCCACACACGAAAACACATGACCAGTTTAAACTGGCCTGATAAGTAGGCTGAGATAAAAAAGAGCAATACCAGGTGTCATCATTTGTCAACAATCTCGAGACAATACAAAACCAAAACTTTTGTCATCTTTGCAACAGAGGGGATGCTGCAGACTAACCAAGCTAAACGAGGCCAAAGTAGACATAACTCATGCAAGTTGACAACAAAAACTGAAACAACAGAGACAAATAATAACAGCCATCTGTTTTTATTTCAATAAACAGAGAAGCAAACTCGTATATTTCGATTTAGAGGTTTCTGCACTCATTATTTTCAGCATGTTACAGTATAATTACAATAAAAAGAAAGGAAAACTGATGGCTAGAAGTGGTTAAAGCAAGACAGGCTCAGAAACAAGACAGGTATGTCCAAACCAGGCCCTACTATGTGACCCAAATCTCTTATCAGCTGAACTGAATGCCCAACAACTGACTTGGTATTCTTTCCACACAGAGACTAGCTACGAATAGTCAACAGCTGATTACATCAGCAGTCAAGCAGCCATTCATGGAATATTCCCACGAGGCTGACCTTTAAGCTGAGACCCTGCTGATATTTTCCCTCTTGCTTTGAGAAGTTCGTAGTAAGGGAGACAAGAACTTGGAATTCAACCTTGACACAATAACAATACAAAACTGTAAATATAATATTGACTGAGAAGCATCTCATATCAGTCACACCATGCAATTTCCATGCTTCAAGAAAGTCACGACCTGAACCATGACCTGTACAGGACCTTTGTCCAAGTCATAACTAGCACAATGATTATGTATGATTATGTATAGCCTGAAAATGGACAATGAATGTTTTGTAATTGTTATTATAGTTACTGAAAAAAATAACCCCAAAAAATGTTTCTTTAGACATTACAAAACGCTTATACGTACATGAGGGCAAATATTTTCACAACTTCCATAATAATCTCAATGAATCTTCACTTTATATCCCCAAATCCAAAGCGAGGAGAAAAATGTCCAAAAAATAATAGCCTACATGTTGAATAGAAGCAACAACACATTTTTCTATACAACGCAAATAAAAGTAACTTTTAAAAGCCTTACTTAACACTCAAGTAAAAATAAGAGTTACACAGCCGTACCCGTATAGTTCTTAAATAATGATTTCGTCTGTAATGAACCATACAGCTTTTTCAACTTTCCTGATAAACTGATGTCCCAGTCACAGTTGCCCTTATTATGGTAGGAAGCAATCATTATATCTATTAAAACCTGCACTGTGGTGGATGAAAAAAAGTACAGGTGGTTGACTGGTACCATTCAAAGCTTCACGAGTAGAATCAAAAATAAAAACAAAATTTCTTCCATTGAGTGAGGAGCTTCTACTGGTCTGTCAGCACCAACTTTTCTACATGTATCTATTTCTCTGCCATCTCATACCTAATGCAGTCAAACAACTGCTTTGCATAATCGTCTGGATCAAAATCTACTATGGGTCTATATGTCTGATAAAATTAGTTCAATGTATGGATGGACATGTGGCTAGGATAGCCGGGACTATGAGGCTGGCTGTGACACAAGGGCTTATGCCCACACCTGACTAAAACATGGAAAAGTACTTAGCATTCTCCGGTAGCTTTTGTTTAATCACATGCAATTCTAGAGCATTTCAATTAATTAAAAGTAAACTCCAACTTCAAAATTTCTTCTTTTACTTCCATTTAAGTCAAGAAAAGTTGGAAAATAAAATAAATATTCCATTCCATTGAACCCCTAAGGAAATGTGTTTTACAATGGCGTACATAAAAATATATGAAAATAATACGAACATAACATACAATATCACTAAGGAAACCCATAATATCATTGCTGGTCGCCACTGTGCAGCACCCTGGGGTTTTTTTTAGCTTGGGTTATAAGCAATGCTCAAGGAGAGCCAGTCACCACCTCCCTAAATGCTGTGTTACTAACACATACTTGACTTGCATTTATCTCTGTGCATCCTTGAACCATAACTAAAGAGCAGACACTCATATTTATCTTAAAGCTGCATTTGAAAGCAATCAAATCTGGAGTATTTCACATCGAAACAAAGCGATCAAGACATACTTCATTCAAAAAGAAATTTCTTTTTTAAAATGTAGGTACTTAAACGACCCATACCATATCAACACAATTTAGATCATTACAATTCATTTAGGAGGCAGGTTTCTGACCTTGCCTGTCAAAGCCAAAGCAAGCTGATAGTGATCAGTTGGAAGAGTGAGATATTCAATACAAAATTTCTTCTCACTTGAGAATCGTACACTCGGGTCTGCCGTGAGCCACAGCAAAGCACCTAACCGCGACACCACAGATGCGGTATCAAGGCCTACAATTTTATAAATTCTTTTTAGGGCTAAAAATCATGAAAATCTGGCTCCGCCATGCTCATAGGAATTTTTACTGTTATCTTCATTTAAAATTTGATGGCTATTGTCAAAGTCAGTAACAAGGTTTCTATAAAAGTGGCACAAAGGTTGGTCCCAGAATTATATGAAGGTAGTTTATAGGGGAAAGCAAAAGTAAAGAAAAAAAAAAATCAATGCACATATAAAAGTATAAAAGAGCTCTCTAATTCTAAGCCTAAGCATTATATATATAACATGCAAGTTCTTGACAACTTGCTTCGAGCCAAAAAATGTGCAAACCTACTGGTTCTGCAGGTTGGTACGCTAAGTCAAAATCAGTGTGTAACGTAATTAAAATAACTTTATAACTAAATTAAGATGACACATCAACTATATGCTACAGCAGCCTACAACAAAGTCAAAGTATCTCATTTCCTCCTCAGGGCAGTGCTACTGACTGAAGTTGTCTTAATAAAGGGTCATTCCCAAAGGAGGAATATTAACATGATGTTCTTATTGACAGTAGAATATTGTAAATGGGCTGATTTATCAATATCATGTTCATACACTGTGTCAAAACAACATAGGGCCAACTGCTGTTTTTTCTTTCCTCATCCTAACTATCATCATTTTTCCTCTACTTCTTTTGTATGTTTGTCACTCTCTTGTGAATTGCTATTTCCGGGGTGCCTTGATAGTCCAGGCAGACTTTGTATATTGTGCTGTTAAGGCTAAAGAGGTGAGCAGAGAAAGTCTGATTCCCCGTTTGGACTTCTCTTCTCTGTTGACATCCACCCCTTGGTGCTCATATTATTAGTATGCAGCTGAGAGCACCGTAGAAACCTTACCAAAACTAAATTAAAAGTATCTCATGAATGATGCTCTTTTTCTCTTTTTGTAGACAAGAACCCTGCAGAAGCAAGCATTACTTAGCAGCTGAGTACAGTAGGACAGTAGTAGTGGAGTGCCGGGTGACATTATAAATTAAAGTTAAAGAAATCCTAGTAATAACAAAAAAAACTCTTCAAAATACAGTGGTAGGCTAGAAACTTTTTTACAATGCTTTATAGATAAGAGACAGTTCTCAGCTAAGGCCCTGGGCAGAATCAAGAAAACAAAAACGTAGTAATTTAGAAAACATTTTAAAGACACTAGTACTTGATTCACAAGCAGAGAGTGTGGACCGTCTCAGACTATTAGTTCAGAGGGCACTCTTCGGGAGAAGTGGTCCCGGCCTAACTCCATAAAAATTTATAGATCTACATAGGATGTGTGCACAATCGGAAACAAAAACGAAAGTCGAGTAAAAAAGTTGGCGGAAATTTATTGATTTTTGGGGGGCTTTTTTTTACAGTTCGATTTTTTCGATATTCACAAAAATAATGGTTTGTGACAGTTATCAGTGCCAAAATCGTTCTTAGCACACTAAAAAAACGGTAAAATAACTGTGCCGAAAAATAGTCTATGTGGTTCTGTTTTCACTTTATAACTCTTCTATTTTTCACTTTTAAACTGTAATTCACCAGATATCTGGTTAAAGTGTTCAAAGCAGTTTCGAAAGTTTGAATGGTGTAGATAGCTTAAAAAGTAGCAAAGTTATTCAACATCCGTCGTTCTCCCTTACACTGCGCGCTCGCAGGAGAGCCTTACGATGTACAAGTGAAAACGACGAATGGTACGGTTCGTCGTTCTCCCTTACACTTACACTGGTGAAAGTGTATGGGGGCAGGCGATGGTCCATTGTGACGCATTATTGACAGGAATGACTGTGTACAATAAAAATAAGACTTACTTATACAAACTAGCAATTATACGTACGTGTGTATAAAAAAAAGGTGTTTCCCAACTGTAACTCAGTAAGCATTCTTCGTTTCCCTTCAACAGCGCTTGGTTGAATATACTACACAGTCAGTGTACAAATCAAGTCATGTGCACACATTTTCAACAGCTTGATTTAAAACTGTCTCATTTGGAATCAAAAATTGGTCTCCATGATATCTCTTTATTATATTCTCTTCAGAATGGTGGTGTGTGTGTGTTTGCTAAAAGGCCTAGTATGTTTGTACTGACGTAACAGTGACCAATTGTCATTCATCGCCCATGTCGAACTTGCCCGACGGCACGACCAGGGGACAAAGCCGAACGAGCAGTGATCCTTGACCGATCGACCATTCGTCATTCTCCCTTACACTGAGCTCTAGCTCGGAGCTAGCCAGTGTAAGGGAAGGGAAAAAGACAAACTCTCAATTACGCAAAAAAAGGATTAGGATAGACAAAAATCTTTACACCATCAGATGCAGAATTAAATGCACTCTATAAAATATAGATATCTATAAAAATATTTTAAAAACATATTTTGACCAATCGTCGCTTTCCCTTACCACGGTAGAATTGTACAGGAGTGCCAGATCTAGATTCTAGATCTAAATCTAGATCTTGATGGTCTCACTGCTAGAGGCATAGAGTAGACAGAGACAATACAATGAAATTTAGGAAGGACTTCCATAACGAGCGACCACCCCATCAAACACAATAAAGAAGAGGCCTACCATAACCCTAACCCTACCCCAAACCCTAACCCTACCCCAAACCCTAACCCTAACTAGAGGTGGGCAAAATCCGGATAATCTGTATGGATAACCGGATAATTCTCAATGAGACATTATTTATCCTTATTCAGACTCTTCTTAACTCTCTTTCCTGACCCGCTTGCCGAAGTGGGTGCACCCGTTTGTTGAAGTAGTGCTAACCCATTTGTTGAAGTGGTCTTAACCCATTTGCCGAAGCGGTTCATATCATTGCCGAAGAGGGGCACTAACATATTAATATTATCCGGATTTTGCTAAAGCGACTCATTGCCCAGTCCTACCCCAAGCCAAACCCTACCCCTAACCCTACCTAGCTCTCAATTCTGCTCTGTCTCATAGATCTAGATCTAGTGGTCGCTCGTTACGGAAGTCTTCCCGAAATTTATGTAATTTAGATCTAGGCCTAGACTAGTTTGTGTCTATAGGCCTAGAGTCTAGATCTCCTAGATATCTCTATACTCTAAACTCTAGCAGTCTAGCCATGATGTTAAAGTAAAGAGAGTCAAAGTAGGAAAAGTAACGGCCACGGCTACTCTATTTTTTTAGAAAGGTAGTCTACGACTAGACTAGATCTACATCTAAAATCTAGAATAGATGTAGATCTAGAATCTAGAATCTCTTATTGTGTACACATATCTAAACATTAAGTCATAAAGTAACCAGATAGACCTAACTTCGTCTGCTCGACTATCTTGCCTTGGCCTTGTTTGTCAACATTGCAGTGTCAAAAGCTGAAAACAAAGCACAAATCACAAAGTGAAACAAGTGCGATAAAAAAAAGAAAGTTTCAAGCTCAGTGTTACTTATCGTTTGGAACATTTTTTAAAAACCCTGAACAAAACAGAGAAGCACAGTCACCGGCAAAGTACTATCAGGTCACAATACCTGTATATTCAGCACCAAGACGATAAAGTTGACCTCTTTAGTGAAGACACTGAAACTAATTTTTAGAGGGAATCCCCAAACGCTGGGAATCCGCCATGTTGAAGTGTGTGACCTCAATCAATCCCAGAATATTTTTGCCCCGGAAATGAAAAGAGTTCCTTGAAGTCTTTGGGCTCTTTCAGGGAGGCATAGGCCTATCGACTTTCCTTCATCTTTTGACGAAAATTCGAAGGCATCTTCTTTCTCTTCATTTGTTTCAAACTAGATCTATCTTAAAAGATTGTTTTAAAGTTTCACACATTGCAAAAAATTATACTAGCACTTAGTCCTTGAGCCCCTGAATAAGCTAGATCTAGATCTAGATCTAGATCTATATAAAATGTTATACCTGCAGGCCAAGCTTCTATAATATATTTGGGTCTATAAAGATCTCTGGTTTTTGACAATAATTTACAGTAAAGAGTATAGGGCCTAAATAATTAATTTAATATTCTTTTAGACTTTGTTAATCTAACAGACACTCCAAAATAAGGAAAAGAGGAATGAAAGCGAATAGATCTACTTATATGACTATTTCTGGTTATTTTGTGAGTGCGTGAAATTGAATAGATTCTAATTCATTCTTATATGAATTTTTATTAGGCCTTATAGTATAGAGCAAAGTAAGATTTTTATTACCGGTATTCCTTATAGAAAAGTGTGGGTCCCTAAGTAGAAAGAGCAATTTTTTGGGGCACCTGTTTAATTCTTCTATCTGTTTATGCAGAGCGACGTCCATCCAGAGCTAGCAGAATCTTTGAACGAGAGCGCTTTCAAATGGTGTCATGTTCAAGATTGTTGTTTTCCCCCTGTAAAAGTAGCATATTTCGAACTCATACTGGTGGGGGTTTTTGTTATTATTCCTTGTATTCTTTGAACCCCTTCAGAGATCAAATTTCAATTACGTAACCTACGGCTAGATTTAGATATCTAGATCTAGAAATCTAATTGCCTCCTTGAAGTTGAAGATGCGTTCTTCGGTGTGGCTATATAGATCTTAATTAGTGTGTGAACAGCAGTGTCAACTGCAACAATTAATCTGATTTGCGTGTAATATACATGAGCCTAGAACAACCGTTTTTCTTTGAGCAAAATTAAAGTAAAACAATTTGACGGTCCATTGAGAAGTTACAAAAAGTCATGATTCCTGTCTATTGGTCTTTAAAATGTATAATGTACAAGCGAAGTTTCAGATAGTCTACACTGATTTTTTTTTCAAAACAACATTATATAGGCGTATATAATAGGCTATTATGTGCGAGGTCCAATAAGAGTAGTTTTTGTTTCTTTCTTTGAGACGATCTTTTTGCTGAGATTGTTTTAGAGTCTTTTATCCATAATGATTTGCTCTATAACATTGGTAACATTTTAAGGGGAATGTGCAAATATTGAGATTTTATATTTTGTGTCTCAATTATAAAAACTATACGTCTACTAAAAAGTACATATCATAAAAACTACAATTAGGTCATTGCTAATCATATCCTCGAATTTTCTATAAGTATTGGATATTTAGGTTACTACATCCCCCC